GTTAAACCTTCCAGAAAGAAATAATACCAGTACTACACAAACTGCTTTAGGAAATACAAGGCAATATTTTTTCAACTTACTAAGTGAGGCTATTATTACACAGATGCCAGAGTTATCACAAAAACAGGCAACTACTGACTAATATTTTTCATAAACCCAAACACAAAAATCTTTGACCAAATATTAGTAACCTGAATCCAGTAACACATAAAAGATTTATCTAATATTAGAAATTCATTTAATATAAAATAATAGAATATAATTTATGGGGGAAAAAACACCTGATCATCTCAATAGTTGTACAGAAAGCATCAGACAAAATTCAATACCCATTCTTGATAACAAAGTAAGAATAAATTATACATTTTTCAAACTGATAATAGGCATTTATGAAAATTCTACTATTAATATCATATTTAATGGTGAAAGATGTTTATTTCCCTCTAAAATTTAGAAAAAGGCATGATGTTCGCTCTCTTCACTTTTGTTCAGCAATGTCCTAAAGCTTCTAATCAGTGAATTAAAGTGAAAAAAAAAATTAAAGGCATACACTTGGGAAAGGAAGATGAAAACTGTCTTTATTAGCTTAAGACATTATTGTATATGTATACATTTCTAAGGAATCTCTAAAAAAACTTCTAGAATTAATGGGCAGTATTAGAATCCTGTTCATTTAATGTAGGAAACAAGATCGATATAAAAATTCAATTGTATTTCTATAAAAACAGTCCAGCTGAAAGTGAAATTAAGAAAACATTCTATTCAAAATAGCATAAAACTAAAAAAATACTTACGAATACATTTAACAAAAAACATGAATGACCTTTACATGGAAAACTATAAAACACTGCCAAGAGAATCAAGATAGATCTATGTAAATGAAAAAAATACCATGTTTATGAATCAGAAGACTCAATATTTTTAAAATGGTTCTTCTCATTAAATTGATCTATAGACTCAATGCAGCAGACATACCCAGAAACAATGCTTTACCTACCAGCCATCTGGGCATCCCTCAATCCAGTGAAGCTGACACCTAATATTAACTATCATACTATCCATTTGAAAAGAGATTAGTAACAAGAATATATAAATCAAGACCATGTGGTATTGGCTTAAACATATATATTAATCAATTAAGTAGAATAGGGAGTCTAGAAACAAATCTTTATATTTATGGCCAATTGATTTTTGAAAGTGGTATTAAGGCAACTCTGAGGAATATATAGTGTTTTCAACAACTAGTAACCATGTATATCCATATGCAATAAAAATGAACTCACACCCTGCACAAAAATTAACTCAAAACTGAGTTAGGTGAGAGCTAATATTTCTAGAAGAAAACATTGAAGAGAAGCTTTTTAATCCTTAAATAGGCAAAAATTTATATATATGGTGCCCACACACAATATACAAAAAACTGACAAGTTAGACTTTTATCCAAATTTAAAGTTTCGCTTTCAAAAAGGCACTATTAAGAAAATAAAAAGAAACAGTGGACTCTGAAAAACTACTTGCAAATTATTTCTCTAATAACAGACTTCTAGTTAGAATAAAGAACTCTTACAACTCAATAATAAGAAAGACAATCCAATTTTAAAAGAGGCAAAATAATTTAATAAACATTCCCCCATGAAAACATGTAAATGATTATTAAGGACAGGAAAACATGAACAATATCATCAGCCACTAGGGAAGTGCTAATTAAAGCCTCAATGAGATACCGTTGTATACAATAGAATGACTATAATAAAAAATTGAGAATACCAAGTTTTTTGAGGCTACAGAGTAAGTGGAATCTTCATACAGTGCTGGAAGTCATAAAAATGGTTATAGCTATTTTAGAAGGAAGACAATTTGACAGTTTCCTACAAAGCTAAATACATACTTATGACTCAGCAATGCCACTTCTAGATCTCTAACTGAACAAGAGAAATAAAATAATGTCCACAAAAATATTTGTATGAAAATGTCCCTAGTAGCATTATTTGTAATGGGCTAAACTGGAAACAGTCCAAATATCCACCAACTGGTAAGTGGATAGAGAAAATAAGGCACACCTACACAATGTAATACTACTGAGCAATAAAAAAGAAGAAACGATGGATACATGCTACAATGTGGATTAATCTCACTGCATTATGCTAAGCAAAGGAAGCCAGATATAAAAGAATACATAATATATGACTTTATGTAACTGAAATTTCCAAAAAGGCTATAGAGACAGAGACTGAGCTACAGGGACAGATCAAATGTTCTTAGGGCTATGGATAAAAGGAAGGAATGATGGCATTTAGGGATAAGGGAACTTTTGCAATTCATGGAAGTATTCTAAAACTGGATGGTGTAGGTAGTATATAATTTATAAACTTATTAAATATTATCAAACTGTCCACTTACTATGGGTGAATCTTACATGTTTATAAAAAAGATACTGTTTTCTCTTCCTTGCTAGGTTTATTTGACCCCTTTTCATTGCCTTATTGAGTTAAGGAACTTATGTCAAGGTAACCAAGCAGTTTTATCTTCATTTATTGGTACTAATAACAATATATTTGGATGAATGACCTAAAAATATTTGTAGTAATTAATTTGTTAACAAAACTTTTTTTTTAATTTAAGGAACAGAATAATTAAAGATAATTTTTCATTATTTAGGGCTTTTTGGTAAAAAGTTATGAGCTGATATGTGCATATAACTATATTTACTATTCCTGAGAATTTAAACATAATTATTTATTATTATGCTTTTCATTTTCTTTAAAAGTTTCCATGTAATATCAAAATGTAATGACAATAAAACTTACATCCAGGAAGTTTTTATGGTTTCTTTAATAATTGTTCTTATTTAAAGTTATAATTAGTATAAAAGAGATCACATTTTATTAATATTCGTCAATAATTAAACTTAAAAGGAATAAGATCCTGACTGTAAATGGCCAGGTACCATCTTGTTCCTGTCTACAGCACACATTTTAAGATCAGGATTTTTAGTAATTTAAAAAGCAAGTGCTGCCTATGAAAGAGACATATTTCTGATCTTCACAATGAGTAAGAAAAAGTCATGGGAATTCCTGAGAGATCTTAGAAAGACACTGCCTAAAAAGTGCCAAAAATGGACAAGTTTAGCAAAGGATAAAATAAAAAATTAATATTCAATCTCTCTGGTTTTTATATGCAGAAAGCAGGAAAAAATTCAGATCTACAATACCGACCATCTATTTTTTTTTAGTGTTAAAGCCGAAGAAGATAAATTTAAAAGAATATATGCTTTGGGGGATGTAAATGCAATACAGAAGAGTGAATGCAGATGACACCACTCTGTAGAGATTCTGTGCTAACAACAGGGAATAGTACTAAGGAGGGGGGTTGTTGGCCTCCAGTCACCCTCCTTCCAATACTCCCCTCCACCCCCCACAGCTGGAGGTCCCTGGCCCATCCCCTGGACCAACAGAGCCTCCTTTTTATTCTTTTTTTTTTTGCCTTAGTGACTTCTTTTTTCTTTTCTGTGACGGGTGAAAAGCAACTAATCAGAGTAATTTATGACAACAAAAAAAGTATTAATAATCTCTGAGGCATTTCCATTTTTAAATGTGAACCTGGTGTATGTAAAATGCCAGGTAGATATCAGAGGCTCAATGAAAGTTAATCTTTTTACCCATCTCTCTGTTTCTTTTATTTATTGGTTTTTCCCAAATACATTACCTGCTTCAACGAACTCACAGCAAGCTGTGCTGCTGATCCCTCTTCAGCACTCCCTGAACACAGGTACTGGTGGGAATAATGAGCAGGGATGAAATTGAACATCTGCATCCTTCACCAAGCTTTCAGCAAGCCATACTCATGGACGCAAGATGTGATAAATTCAATATTATCCTTCTAAGGAATTTCACACCAGGGTGGAACTGATGGCAACCTGCCATATCCATTGGAAGATATGGGGGACCCTTCACAGTTCTGCAACATCATTATGACCACTCAGCCTACCCCTAAATTCAGCCCAAGGCAGCTCCTATGTCAGGCAGTCCACAAACCTTTTGAGAGCAGGTATACTCCAGGTCCTGGATCTATGTGGGTCTTGTGTTAGGTGCCAGAGATAACCGGGTGAATATGACAATCCAGGGCCTTCAAGGAGCACAGGTTGTCAAAGCAAAAGACTTGCAAAGCTGTGCTCTGTCCTGTGCAAAATATAATCAGCCTTGGAAAGAAGTTTTCTTGCTTTCTAACCTTGTAATTTAAACAACTGGCAACAGTTTCAGATTCTCCCTTGTCTGGACTTAAATGTAGAACTAGCCTCTTCCATTAACAGGAAACATCTTTTATTCTACACAGTTGACACCTACGCAGAGCAGGCCCACGAAGATAAGTCTCTCAAACAAAACGGAGGGCAAACAAGCTTACACCAGTCAACAGTGGCTTATGTTTAACCTGTTGTTTTATTTAACCATTCTTAAGCACCAAAGTGTGAGGGGGATCAATATTATTATCCACAGGAAATGGGACCTGAGATTCACAGAAAATTCATCTAGTCCCTCAAACCCGTGCTAGGACTTAGCCATTCTCCCAGGAAGAGAAGTTTTGCTGAAAACCTTATTTCCAGCTCAAAGAGGCACCCAGAAGGAGGTAGACATAGGAGACAGGCCCAGGGGCTTTTAGTTGGAAAAAACAATCCTAAAAATGAAAAATCTTCCCAATGTACCCAGTGATTCTCTCTTTTTCTCTCTTTACACACACACACACACACACACACACACACACACACACACACACACGGGGGGAGGGGCGCAGGGCAAGGGGGCTTTTGGTGTTTTTATTATAACAAATCCCCTGGATCCACCACCGCCTGGCAATCATGACCCGCTGCAGCTGCAGGACGGCGGGACAGGCAAGTCCCCCTCAAGGGGCGAGTCCTGGGCAGACGCGGCGCCGCCGCCCCCTTACCAGCGGTGGACGAGAAGTCGGCTTGCTGCCTCCTCCCTGCGCCCCGCCTGCTGCCTGCGCTACAAGTAGCCCAGTCCTGAGGACTCCTTCCAGAAGTTCTGCTGGGCTCTTGTGGAGCAAGTTTTTCGCAGCACGGGAACTGCACGGTGCCGGAGAGCTCCGGCAGCCGCCTGCCCCTTGGGACCCGGCCGCCTGGCCCGCTGACGGCGCTCTCTCGCCCCAGGTGCCCGCGCACGTGGCGAGCCGCCACACCAGGGGGCGTCCGGGGTGGGATCCATGAAGCGCAGCCTGAGGAAGATGCTGCGCCCTGGGGAGAAGAAGGCGGCCCAGGGCGCTGTCTACCAGGGCGTGCAGGACCACATGGACGACTCCAAGGAATCGCTGAAGGTACCCTGGGCGATGGCGGTCGGGACGGCTTCCGAAGTCCGGGCGGGGGTGGGCTGGAGGTTTCTTTGCCGGAAGAAGGAGGGAAGGCGAGCAGAGGCAGGGGGTCGTGGGGGGTGGGAGCGGGTGCTTGCTTCGGGATGCTTGCACGATCCAAGACACCTTCTTGCTAATAACGCGCTCCCACAACTCCTGTTTTGTCCTTTTTGTTTGCTTGCTTGTTGTACAACTTGTTCTTATTACTGGATGGGCAACCGCGGTCGAGGAAGACGTACTCGAAAAGTACGTTTGGCATTTGGCATAATCCGGCGGCTGCCCCAAATCAGGACCATTTGGAGTGTGTGCCATTTCACTTGGACTTTTTTTTTTTTTTTTGTAGATATCGTTTAGGACCAAACGCTGGAATGACTGTGTCTAGGAGTCGGGGGGTAGCCATTCAAGAAGTGCACTGGGTTTTGTAGCCTAGAGTCTAATAGAGTTAATCAGAGAAGCCAATATTTGCCAAAGAAGCGCTGCAGACAGTGCCCCCTGATAAAAGGGAGGCAAGACTGGCGAATTCCTCCTCCAGGGAGTGGGAGCGTCAGTAAAGACTGTGAAGGAGACCCTTTGGAGATGGGTGGGTGGTCTCCTGGGGCTTCTAAGGGCTGGGATGGGGGCTTCTATTTTTCCTGCCGTTCGCGGGACAGTCTGAACGAAAGCAGCACTAGCTATCGCCTGATAGCATAGACTGAGAGAGGGAGACCGATGGATGTTCAGAACCCATCCCTGGATTTCCTCAGATTGCCAGCAGGAGAAAGGGTCTCTTTTAAAATGTTAAGATATCATTAAAAATGTCTCTCCAACCCCTCACTACAAATTCCTTTCCACAGTGGAACCATGTTAGCCATTCTTTATGTATTTTCCAGGAGGGGAAAATGCTTTTACAAATACACACATATGCACATATCATTTTGGTTTCAAAAGTATGAACTTACAGAGATTTCTTTTTTCTTTTCTTTTCTTTTTTTGAGTTGGAGTCTCACTCCTTCGCCCAGGCTGGAGTGCAGTGGCAGGCTCACGGCCAACTCAGAGTCGAACCGCTGGTCTCAGGCGATCCTTCCGCCCCAGCCTTCCAAGTAGCAAGAACTACAGGTGCGCGCTACCACGCCCGGCTACTTTTTTATTTTTATTTTTTCTTAATTTTTTTATTGTAGAGACGTGGTCTTGACAAGTTGTCCGGGCTGCTTGTGAACCCGCGGGTTTAGGCAATCCATACGCCTCCACCTCCCAAAGTGCTGGGATTACAGGTCACCCAGCCTGGCCACTCACAGAGATTTCTACTTTGATTTAGTCACAAAATTTATTTTAGAATACTTTTCAAATCAGCACTTGGAGATTTACCTCTCTCTTTTTAGTAGCTTCATTGTATTCCCTTGTATGTATGTATTTATGATTTTATTTAACCAGTCCTGAACTGATGGACACTTAGGCTGATTTTGTTTTTGTTTATTTTGCTATTACACACTGATTGTTTGTGTGAGTGTAGATGCGGTTCTCTGTCTATTGGTATTTTTAGGGTTTATGTGTATATTAAAGTACTAACAAAGTCAAGAGACGTGTACAGCTTTAAATTTGGTAGACACTGCCAAATGACTGTCTAAACAGGTAGCATGAATTCACACTGATGTCAATCATGTGTGTAAGTCAGGCTTGTGTGGTAAATCACACATACCAACAAACCAGACCTCCCAGGTTAAGTCTGCTTGCATATCCAGGTGAACCATAGCCTTTTTTTCCTTTTTAATATAGGCATTTTAACTGAAGTCATTTTTCCTTACAACAATGAACTGGGTCATGAGTAGATTTCAACCACTACAAGAGTATCTTTACAATTAATACAGTACAGGAAGAAATTTCCAAATTTTGAAAATCACCCATGTGGTTTTGTTTTCTAGAGATATTTGCTGAATAATTTCTCAGCACAAAGTCTCAAACTTATTTTTCTTTATGTTTTTGTTTAATTGTGTTTATTTAGTTTTATAGTATATGTAGAACCACTTATGTAATTTCGGGCTTTTAGAAGCTACATTAAGGGCTTGCAGATTGAGATATTTATATATTTTATCTTATTAACTGAAGTCATTCCAGATCATTTTGCAAAAATCCCAGTGGTTGGATGCCTTAAAAAGCAACATAATTAATGTGGTGAAGGGTTTTGAACTCTAGAGATTTTTTGGTGGCTTCCTAATGTAAAAGATTTGGTGTACAACATATTTTCTCCAGCACACACAGCATCTCAGGAATGTTGACAAACTGAAGGATCAAAGAAGATGTATGAAAAATGTGGGAAAAGAACCAATGGGACTGATGTCTTTAACCTTTCTCCAATTATTTTCTTCCAAGAGAGTGAAAACTTTAGCTTTTGGCTTTCATCTGTTATATACTCACACCTTCACCTTAGTTTCCCTTTTCTTTTGATTCTTTGCTGCTTATATGTATTTTATGAAAGCAACTTAAAAGTAGATGTATTTGATATCTCTGTCTTAAAGTGCTTAGTTAAAATTAGCATCTCAAAAAGTGACGTAGTCTATTACACTGTGAATGTAATCATATAGTTTAGAAATCAAAAGTGACCCCGAGACAATAGAAATTACATTGCATGACATCTTCAACTTACTTTCAGAACTTTCTTTAAGAAATCTCTTCAAAGCCTGACAACATGTTCGGTACTGAATTGAGACTGTTTACCTCATTTAGTATGCTCATATAAATTATTTAGATGCTGTTTTGTCATTGTGAATTCAGTAGTACCTTGTGAGCATCTGAATTTAGTGCTTCCTCTAAAGAGTGTGAAATTGGGTTGAGGTTGACAGCACATTCCCTGGCCAGACCCTATAAATAATTCTTTCTGGCACTAGGGGGTGAACAGTATAATCATTTGACTATCACCCAAAGAACATATCAAATTCAAGTGCTAAAATGCTTCCACACTGGGGGGTGGGTAGTTTTATTAAACAGCCAAAGAACACATAAAATTCAAGCACTAAAATGCTTCCAAATAAGTAAGTAGGTAAGTGCTTTCTTTGATAGGTTGAGACAAGAAGAAAACCTATTTCTTCAAAAAGATCATTTAAATTTATTATTGAATATGTGTAAATTTGGAAATGGCTGGATGCTCATTGTCATATCCTGCAGTGACTAAAGCTATACGTAGTTTAAGTCCAATTCATGTTTTTTCTTTTTTTTTTTTTTGAGTTGG